CAGGAGTCCAGTGACCATATTTAGAAGAGCCACATGCCTGTAGCCAAGTTCATAACTTTTCTACAGTACCTGAATTCAGCTCTATGCAAAGTCATGATTGAGTTTACTACTGTAATAGAGATACAAAGTATGTGGAGTATGTATTTTGTAGACATACAAACTTGTATTCTGTACATACAGTCTGCACCTAGGAATGAAGACAATGATGCTGCTTTAGAGGTTGTAGAGAAGAGAAATTTTAAATGTATTCTTAAATATTTGTGAGAATCTAATCTGGTGCGAGGAAGGAGGGATCTGAGGTGGATGTAAGTCAAAACGCCACTCAGTTTAAAAGACACTTCAATTCTCCACTTTGCAATCCAGATTGGCACTAATCAGCACATAAGGAAAATAAGCCAGAGTAATGTTGTGTTAAGAGATGAATGGCCACATGAACTTCCTGTGATTTGTTCTCTCGCCTCATTTTTTTTCAAAGTACTTTAGCAACACAGGTCATAGAAAAAACTGAAATGAGACAAGCTGTGACCTTTTGGAGGAAGATTGTGAAAAAGAAGGAGGGTAACATTAGTGGAGTTACAAAGTTACAAAGTTGGAAGGTATGCAAAGGTATGCAAAGGTAAAGGTGAAGGCTGAGTATATGAGTATTGACTGAAAGGTGACAAAGATGCGATGAATAGCCAGATCCTCAGAGAGAGACAGGAGACTGAGGTGTACTAAGCCATGACTAAATGCTGAGGATGGCATGGAGAAAGCAAGAAAACTGGGGGGAAAGCAAGGAGTGACACTGAAAGAAATAGGCAGGGTTGGTGAATATATGGTGCTAGGGAGAGATGAAACAGAAGAAAATGTACTAGAAGATCAAAGTAAGCAGCCTGAGGGGGATAAAAGACTCTTGGAAAATGGGAAAACTGTGTGGCAGACAGTACAAACCACAAACATGGCAGGATGAGAGAAGACAGTAGGAATGTCCATTTCCATATGTGACAAAGATTACTATTTTCACATGACTTGATTTTGATGCATAGAGTTGAGTTTGGGAGATCTTCTTCTTAGAAGATAAATAAATTTAATCTAATAATTCCTAAAACAGGAATATTTCTAATTTCCTAATTTTGGGAAGTAGATCACGGTTTTGAGACATACTGATGACTAAAGAAGTCCTCCTTTTTTTCCCCTAAGGCATAATTTTTGAATTCCACGCCACTGTCTGCAGAATCCCACAGATCACAAAATAAAACACAAAATAAACATATCCCACATATAGCAGCAGCTTCACCAGCCATACTTCCACTCTAGGTACACAGAACTTTTTTTTTTTCAAACACTAAATTAGCATAATCCTGCTGAAGACTACTTTGGAGCATGTGCAAATTGGGTAGCTATTCAGCAAGTGTTTACAGTGCAGTTTTTAAAGGTCATGATAACATTCCACGGGCAAGAGAGACAGTTCAGGCTTGTGCTTTGATTTCACGTTGAGCTTTACACCCATACAACAAAGCAGTCAACTAACCAGGCCATCTTTAAATTTCTTATATGCATAGTGTGCTCAGCTCTTTTATTAGCCTACTCCCAAGAAATGAAGAAAAGGGCATCTGTTCTCGTTTAAAATCAGCAAAACACAAGAAATTGTGTCACGAACACACACATACAAGTGTACCTAGCTTACACACTAATGCCATCTGCTCACACTGTCACAGTTCTCTCAGCATCAGTAAATTTGGTTCAAGGATGAGCAGGATTATTTCAGAGGTTTTTATCCTCTGCTGTCTTTAAATTATTCTTGAAATGTCTGGGACAGCTGGAAAATCAATGACCAAATTTAAGTTTTCTTATTTGTTACTCTATTTTTATTACACAGACCGTGTTCCCTGATCTGATTTCTCCCTGGTGGCTGTTCTGTGCTCTGCTAAGATGCCACCCTCAACACACAGGAATCTTTCCTTGGTTACCAGCAAACTTAGAGAAACTGTTGTTCTTATCTCCTGCTGATGCTGGAGGTGGAAAACCCACCAAAACTTTCTTGTTTAACTGCATGGCTTAACATGCATTTACCACTCTGGTGCTGTTAGATCCACCTCCACACTCCCTATATCTGTGTCATACTTTAACCCCAGTCAATCCAGCCCAGCCACTCACTCACTCTCCCACCAGTGGGATGTGAGAGACAACTGGAAGGGTAAAAGCTGGAAAACTCATGGGTTGGGATAAAGATAGCTTAATAAGGAAAGCAAAAGCCATGCAAACAAGCAAAGTAAAACAAGGAATTAATTCACTGCTTTCCGTGGGGCAGGCAGGTGCCCAGCCATCTCCAGGAGAGCAGAGACCCATCACATATAGTGGTTACTTGGGAAGACAAACCCCATCACTCCAAGCTTGCCCCCGTTCTTCCTTCTTCCCCCCACTTTATGCACTGAGCATGATGTCATATGGTCTGGAATATCCCTTTCGTCAGTTGGGGTCACGTGTCCTGTCTGTGTCTCCTCCCAGCCTCTCATGAACTCCCAACTTCCTCACCAGTGTGGCAATACAGAAAACCAGAAAAGGCCCTCTGTACAAGCCCTGCTTAGCAATAACAAAAACATCTCTATGTTATCAACCCTGTGTTCAGCACAAACCTAAACCACAGCTCCATACCAGCAACTGGGAAGAAAATTAACTCTACCCCAGCCAAAATCAGCACATACTGTTTTGGAGAGCAATGCTTCGGGTGCAGTGATGACCTCCTGACAGAGGACGGAGTACTGTGTATTTGAGGACCTGACTAGAAATTCAAAATTCAGGTGGCTATTGCTGATCTGCTGTGAGACAGCACCAGTAGAGGTATCACTGCTGGCATGTTAGAGAATTTGTGTATATCTACATGAGTTGTAGGCACAGCAGTAGCTGCAGTGTAGATGTTGTGATCAAGCACAACATGTTGCTGGCCCAAACTGTGACTTTTTTTGTGTCACTATAGGTTTGTTGTGGTCACTGTCGTTTTTATTTCTCTCCCTCTCCTTCTATGATCACATATGAGATAGTCTGAGTAGTTTTCACTGTATAGCAGTGAAACGGATGCCACTCAGTGGGAATAAACCAGTACTGCAAGGAGTGAAAATGGACTGGGCTCTGTCGTTTAAAATCCTTCTAGTAACTCAGTTGCTGCATGGACACATAGCCCTGTTCAGCGGGAAAAAAAATGATGTCGAACTGATTTCTTCCACAGAATGCAGCTTACTGATGTATTATGTCTTATGATACATAAATCGTCATTCTGCTCTAGAAAACAAACTGTGGTTTCTATGTCTGTACATAAGCACAACAGAAAATAAGAATTAGAATTGTTAATGATAAGACTAGTAAGAGATCACTATGGCTTAATTAAGATCTCTTCACATAGATGACATGCAAATGGAAATGTTCAGAAAACATAAATGAGCTACAAGCACAGGGCTCAAGTGTTAGTGAGAAAAAAGGAGTCACTGAGTACACAGAAGGGACGAGGTATTAAGAATAAGAACTTATACTATGAATATGGTACTGATAAGAGGAAACTCAATGAAAAGAATGGCTTGGTATTCATGGTGAGCTGAAATTATTCTGGGAAAAGTTCAAGTGTTTGCTATCTCACCCTGCATAAACTTGTTCCCCAGAATGATTCTACAATTCCAGTTATTTCCTGAAATTAGTTCTTGGTAGGCAAAGATCAAGTTTAAGAACACCTGTGAAAGTTGTATGTTTTCAGACTGCTCTGCTTAACTTCACCACACAGTAGGGAAAATTTAGAGCCATTAATAGTTCTTTTCACCAGCATGTGGAAGTTGAATGGAAAAGACAAAAATGGTGTCTTTTTTCAGTAGGGAAATCCAGCCAAACCCTCAGAAACAAGTAAACTTAAGTTCCATCTGCAAGGGAAAAAAAGTTAATATGCTGAAAAGATGAGAACAACAAACCTTAATATGGCTACATTATGAACAATGTCAAGTTAGTGTAATTTGACTTTGGACTGACCTAACTGTAGCCTTCCAATGCCTGAAGGGAGACTACAAGAAAGATGAAGAGAGACTATTTACAAGGGCATGGAGTGACAGGACAAGGGGTTTAGTTTAGATATGAGATAAAAACTCTTCCCTGTGAGGTTGGTGAGGCCCTGGCACAGGTTGCCCAGAGAAGCTGTGGCTGCCCCATCCCTGGAAGTGTTCAAAGCCAAGGTTCAATGGGGCTCCGAGCAACCCAGGATAGTGGAAGGTGTCCACCCACGGAGTGGAACAAGATGAGCTTTAAGGTCCCTTCCAACCCAAACCATTCTACAAATTTCCTTCAGTTCCTTCAAGGTAGGTAGTCTGGTGAGCAAAGAAAAGGCAAATGTCATGAGCAAAGAAAAGGCAAATGTCACGTATCTGGGAGTTGGCAGATCTGACAACATTTCACTTGGGAAGCTCAGGAGCGAACTAGTTTTGCTGAAAATACTGTAGGATTGATGCAGAAATGGTTACAGATCTGCTCTGAGAAGGCAAAGTTAGCACAGGCCTTCAAAATCAGAATGGATGTAAAGATGTATTAAAGGGTTTCTGCTGAGCCCTGACCAGGATCTGGTGTACATTCATGCCCTCAGCGACTGATAAATAACCCTCAGTGACAGCCTACGTACACATTGGTAATCCTAAATACTACTGATGAACTTCAGTACTGAAATACTGAAAAAAGGGGGGGGTGGGGGGGGAAGAGAGAGATAAAAGGTATCAGGGCGTGTGCGTAAGGTCTGCCAGGGAAGCAGCACCAGTGTAGGAAAGGCTCTAGGGGATCCCAAACTGTACATGGAGCAGGACTATCAGTATTTTGACCAAAAAAAAAAAAAAAAAAGCAAACAAAGGACATATTGAAGATGTCTAGTGTTCAGACAGGCACAATTCAGACAGACAGTTCAGACGGGCCACGCCGGGGAGGGTAATCCCCCGTATGGCGTTGTCCCCTCGCCGCCCCGCCCCGGCGCTGACGGCGGCCGGGGGCGGCCAAGCCGCTTCATCCGGGCGCACTCGCCTTCTTCTCCTCCTCCTTCTCGGTCATCAGTGCCTGGCCATGGACGTGTGGCAGGTGCCGCTGCTCTTCTCCCGCCTGCCTATGTTCCCTTTCTTCGACCTGGCGCACTATGTCGCCTCCGTGGTGGCGTTGAAGGAGCAGCGGGGTGAGCGGGGGGGGGGACGGGACGGGACGGGCACCTCCCACCCCCTCATCCCAACCCTGGTGTTCCTTCGTCGTGTCCCTGTGTTTCCCTGTGTCTCTCCACCGTGTCCGTGTGTGTACCCTGTATCACACGGGATCCCCAGCCCCGGCAGGATGATGGTGCCGGGGGGCACCGTCAAGTGCCATTCTTTCCTCTCAAGTGCCGGGGGGTCCTCGAGGGAAGCTGGATAGTCCAGGACGGTGCAAATGGGATTGTGTTCCCTCTGCGTTAGTCCCTCAGTAAATTATGTCTGATTGTCTGCAGAAGGCACCGAACCAAGCTTTTCTTCCTTCCTCGAACTCCTGACGAAATCAGCCAGGAGTTTGTTGAAAACCATTTTCTTGAAGTGTTAACGTTTTGAAAGTCTCGAGAAGTAAAGAAAAAGGGCTGAAACTCGTTGAAATTAAGGTGCAGAGAAGGGGTGTGGAACACAGGCCAGTGTGTCCCTCTGTCCAGAATTGCATCAGAGGGGTGAGAGGAGGAATGCTTAACTTGTATCCTTATATCGTTTGCACACCCGATGTGTGCAGGAAGTTGTGAAGGCAGTTCTGCCCTCTAGGAAACATAGTTCTGGAATCTAATGTCACTGTGCGTGTGACTTTTCATGTAGTACCCCGTAGTGAATTTGGGGAAGCTTTTCAGTCTCAGGACTTTCAGTAACAGGACTTTCTGTGAGTGCTCTCTTCTAGAAAAATCTTTTGCACTATGGCTGTTAACCCCAAGCCTGATTTTTTGTTGTCACAAATATAAGAGACTAGCCTTGTTTTAATGTTTAGAATTAAACTACTTGTGGTGTGCCTTTGGTTAGCTACAGTAACTGTGTATCCGAGATGATAACTAGGAAACTAAACTGGCTTTCAGGATTATAGTGCAAATTTGGGAGTTTCTACTTGCCTCAGATTTCTAAGGCTCTGCACTGTTCGTTTATTGAGATCTTGTTCTTTAGTCCCTTACTAAATGTGTTGAGGTGAATTTTGACTTCCTGCTGAGGAATTGCACTTAGCAGACTGTGAAGACTGATACAAACTGCTTAGATACTCTAGAGTCTTCACCAAATTTTGTTATTACTGCTAAAATTTTTTCAGGGTGCTGCCTCATGGCATTATATAATGTATCTATTCCATTCAGAAAGGGACTTCCTAACATTATCATGCACTACTTTTAAACTTTCCTCTTGAATGGACACACCTAAAGACCAGGATGAGGAGCTCTCCAGTTTGCATCAGCATATTTTTAGTGAGACAGCACTTAAGAGCAGTAGAACTGCTGTCAGAAATCTGATCAGATCCATGCCAGTAATTTATTTTTTTTATTCTCTAATTTTGATTTAATAGCTGGGTAGTTCAGAACTTTTTTCTAATACTTTGAATTAATAACTGTAATCCAGGTGTCTGCGTGCTGCTCTGTTTCTCACTTGTAAGCAGTTTGAACTGAGTATTAAATCATAAATAGCAGTCATTATGAAATAGGATGGATATATTATTGTGGATTAATGCTCTCTAGGCGTTACTATATGTTCTTTTTGGAAACTTACAGCAGTAGCTATATTTGATGGGGAAATAACAGGGCAGCCCTTAAGTGCCTGGTGATGTAAGATTAAGTGCCTGGTGTGATCAAGTTACAACCACGTTTATTTTATCCCAGATTACTGTCTCATTAAAATACCAACCCACCCCCACTGCTTAAAATCAGGCTCAGTGTGGGCATTTGTACCATGGATGGGTGCACAGTAACTGGGACTTTTCCAGCCCTCCTAACTAGATTTTCTTGCTCACTTTTGAGTGCTGGTAAACTACAGCAGTGACAACCAACATGTTGCTTTCCACATGTTTTAAAATAAGAGTTCTTGGTTGGTGTATTTGAGATGGCTTAGGAGTTTCTAGTTTGTGACTCCAGTCAGTTGTAGAACTGGCAATTTTCTCTCTTTGGGATGGAGGGGCAGCAAGAGGTGTTGAGGGTTGAGGATATCTCATATTTGGAAGCAATGTGCTGGTTTTATTCTTGCCATTTTTCTGTGATATGTTTCAGGTGACTTGAAAAGAACTAACTTTTTTGGCGTAGGTTTTGCTAAATCAAGTCTGACTCTGTAAACCTTTTATCTTAATTAATGTTATTATGTATAGTTGAATGGGGTACTAGAAAAACTTGTAAAAATCCTCCTGGTCTGCTCTCTAGATGTGTATGTGGTATTTATTCCTGATTGCCTATTTGGAACATGTTGGAAAGGTTAAAGCAGATCTTCTCCTATTGACAGAAATAGTTAGCTGGCAAGGGTTCTTGGTTCTTTTTTTTTTGCTACTGTCATCTAGAAACAAGATTTAAAACTATATTCAAAAATAGTCCTTGTGTTTTGAAGCCTTATCTTTACTTTCTAAAGTGTACCTTTGCAGAACTCTGCAAAGAAGTGGCTTTCTGGCAGATGAACCTTTGCATGGTTGTATGATGCCTCATTAATTCTGCAGGATGCATCAGAGGACAAATATAAATGACCACTTGTTTAAAAACATGTGACCTACTTTAAACTGAGTTTATCTTCTGAAACATTACACCCCAGTCATAATTTAGGTGGCAATGCTAAGATGATCTTTAAATTAGTGTCAGCATTTTTTGCCTCATTTGCTTTTATGTTGGGTATATTCCTTGTTAGAAAGTGGGTGTGAATTGTTACATACTGGCACTTGAGCTGAGAAAATTCTAATGTTGACCTGCAGAAAAATCTTGAAGTGCAGTAGCATTTCCAGTCTCTTGTAAAATGAAAAAATTTACCTGCTTTGTTGTGGACTTTACTCATAGAGGGCAGTCTGGTAATAATAGTAGTAATTCTTATATGTGTCCTCAAAAATGAAAACCACTTGCTGCTAGTCGTGGGGAAGAGTGCAGAAGTGGTGATTGCTGAAAGGCAGGACAATGGATTTGGAAAGAGAACAGATACCTAATTAATTTTAAAACAACTCTGACATTTCATTAATTTTTTTTTGGTATTTTCTTGTCGTTGCAAGAAAAGGAATTTGGTCTTTTTATGCTATACTAACGTGGCTGTGTCATCAGACAAGAACAGTTACATGTGAAGCTACTGTAGTTCTTTTGGACCAACGTATGTCCACTTAATATAATTTTGTGTCTGTTTGTTTTTCTGAATGCAATGGTTGTCCGTATTTTTACTTTTTTTTTTTTAATTGAGGAAATCTTAATGTAGTAAGGACAAGCCATTCATATTTTGCAAGTGTCTTACCCTTTTCAAATATGTTGGTGAAAATAGATCTACATTCAGTTATATGGGATCTGGGTGTAATGGCCCACTTTATATTTTTACTTTTGCTCTTAAGTAACATTATCAGACTTTAGAATTTTCTCCTGTGTTAAATTTTTGCACATGAACACGATTGATAGCTATTCTGAAGAAGTGGTCATATGCAATAACAAACCTGAGCACAACAGATTTGGAGCACCAGGTATGAAAAATAACATGCAAAATAGTGAAACATATAACAGATGTTATTTTAGATTCAGATATTCTGAAATACGTTGGAGTGCTCATTTTTATAAGTTGGCTGTTACATAGGAATTTATATAGTGCCACAATACATGATATCTGTGCCAGCACTAAAACTATAAAAGTCTTGTTAATATGTTAAGTGAGCTGTATTGAGAGTGCTGTATGGTCTTTTATATGTTTGAGCATCTCCTTTTGGGCAAGAAGCTTCTTTTCACACAGAAATGCCTGAAAAATCCAGAGCTTCCCCTCTGAATTGGGAATAGATGCGAGATTTCATTTCGGGGCAGACAGAGGTGCTTTTGTGAACTTCAGCCTTTGAACTATGGAAAGTTAAACTTGTTCAGGCAAACAGAGCTCACCAGCAGTGTAAAGGGGAAGCTTTAACATTGGACTTTTGAAGTGGAAAAAACTAACTACTTGAGAATATTTTTATCTTTGATAAAGTGGTGTTTCCCCCTGAAACTACCTAATGCTTCCCATGACCTCCAGCATAACCCTTTAATATTAAATACTGTTTTGGCATATTTCTATTGCAATTTAAAAGGGGTAATTTATTTCAAAATAACAAAATAAACCAAACTGTCAACCTTTTAATAACAAGAGAAACTTACATTTATTATTATGGCTTCAGGTAACCTGTTTTCAACTCTTCAGGAGTCAGGTGAAACTATTTAATAATTGTTTTGGATACTGTTTTCATTTTTATCGGCAAACACAGCAAGGCATTATGAGGGAAAAGGAAAACAGTGACCCTGAATTCTTGGAACACTCAAAAGCAGAAATGGAATTTGTAGAATAACCCTCAAAATGTAACCTATCCTGTGCAGTTCAGCAAAGCCAATTCTGTGTTTTTAATACAAATTTGAAAGCAAGTGTATATCTATAACAGGCTATTAACAATGAGACCTCTCAGCCATGCTCTGAAAGCTTTTTCTTCTTGGTAGCTGAACAGTTATAACAAACCAATGCACAAAAGATGTTCAGAGAGCACATTCTGTTTAGATAGCGAATGTTAAAACCAGTGTGCTTTAACTTGGTATTTCTGAAGAGTTTTCCTGTGAAACCCTACAAATTGCTGGAGGATTTTTTCATTACCTAAAGGAGCAATATTGGACTGAATGGTTGAAAAATACTGGTTTTTAGAACATGATGTGAGTCTCAAATGTTCATTTCTGGTTTTGCATCTTTTCACAGGAGCTGTGGAGGTGTCAGTCCGGAGTCCATTTGCCTGCTGGTTTAGTGCTATGCTTTATTGCTTTGGTGGTTCACTTTTGTCCTCGTTGATGCTTGCAGAACCTCCAATTGCATTTCTGGCCAAGGGCGCAAATATTCTGCTGGCATCTTCAGTCTGGTAAGCAGCCACAACTGAGTTGGATGGGTAACATTGGTTCTGAGGAAGATACATGTAAGCTGATACTACACCATCGAGGTTCCATGAAAATCAGTGCCTTGACTTAAAAGTGTTATGGATTTGGATCCTATTTCTTCATCCAGAGTCACTGCAACAAAATAGCTGTTAGGATCCTTCTTCTGTAGGAATAGAATGCTTGTAAAGGAGCAATTCATGGGCTGTTGTATAACAAAGTGCTCTGTTGCTAGACTAGACTTGTCTTAGGTTTTTATAGTTTTCCTGGTCAAACAGCTGAAAACATTATTTTGTAATAAAGTGATTTTCATTTGCTGGTTTTCTGGACACAGGTAAGTCAGATGCAATCTAGTTTTATAAAAGTAGCTCTTGAAGGCTGTATGCAAAAATTCTGGACTTTTCTGTAACTGCGGATCCAAGACAGATCTTTCTTCTCCTCCAGTTTCTGCCACCAGACACGACTTTTTTTTTTTTCTGTCTTGTCCCTTCCCAAATGGATGGGTGTTGTAGTGGAAGACAGAGCTGAATGGGAAGTCAGGTATGTGGCAATTTGGCCTGTTTTGAAATTCAAAAAAAGAGCTGGAGTTATTGTCATATAAATGTGGCCTTCCAGTGAATTTAATTTATTCCAGAAAGTGATCTTTGAAGAAAACCTCAAACTTAACAAAAATTATGATCAGCACTGGAGTTTTGAATTTTAAAAGCTCAATTCCTGCCTTAGAAAGACTCTGACCTGCTTAAAATCCTTTAGCTCCTAGTAGCCCCTTAGGTTTTATAATTGCAAATGAATTAAAATGACAGTGTTTCTGTCTGTCTGTGTATGTTATATTAATTTTCTGGCCTTTGTGTTGCAGTGAAAGATGACAGATTTTATTTAGGCAGGGGAGTGAAATGAAAAATGTGCAATAATTAGTGCATTATTAACAAAGCTTATAGAATCTGCCTATAGTTGCTTAACAAGTGATATGACTTAAAAGTACACTTGAAGAGAGCATGATTTCTCTTGAACTTTACATGGTCAAATGTGATTTGCTGTGCACAAACAAAAGAGGGCTTTAACGAGGAGCTGTGAATGTTATGAAACCTTCTAAGCTCCTACTTTTACAAAGTTCTCTCTTCATGACTACAGTGACCTTAATTCTTGGTCCCGGATGGTGCAAAATGAAATTCCCCAAGCCAGACATAAAATAAGGGGGGTTGTGCTACACTTGAGAAGTGCTCCTAAATAGTCTGTAGGACAGCGGCATCTACTGTTGGCAGAGGTTACAGGCAGAAGTGCCGTGGTCGGTCTGCAGGGTCAGGTTCAGTCCCATTATCAGTGCTTCAGGGTCCTAATCCCACCTCCTGCAGCTGTAAATTAATTCTGATGAGGGTTGTCTGTTGAGTAGGTGGCTTAAATGGCTGTTTGCAATAGTCTCTAAAATACATGCTTTGTACATGTCTTTGGCTTCCTATCAGCTGAAGCTTGGTTGCATACAAAGGCATCTGACTTTACAGTGAGAGAAAAAGGGAAAGGAAAGGCCTTAGGAAGTCTTGGTAGAGAGGACTGAGCTCAAAAGCCTCAAGAAAAGGGCCCGTGTCTCTTTTAGAAAATGAAAAGGTATCCTTCCCATTTTTAAATCCTTTCTCTGCTTTTACTTAATTATTACTCTCTTATTCCTGTGCTGAAATAATCTACTTAAGATAACTGAATCAAGTTACTTAGTCTTGGTTGTTTGTTTTTAATTTAATTCAGTTCTCTGTAAGAACTAAATTTTGTTTATTAAGAGATACAATAAAACAACACATAATCTAATCTTTTAAAATATACTGTCATACTAGGATTTCATTGTTAGCCATTTTTACTTTTGATGCCTTAAGCCCCTAGTATTTTTTTATTTTTCCAATATTGGTAAGCCTTATAAGTTTTATAAGTAGATTTTAAAAGCAGCAACCCTCCCTCCCTTGTCCCTTGTCCCTTTCCCTTTCCGTCTAGACACATTCCTTAGCCCTCCTACCCCCAAATCCAGTAGAAATGTTTAGTCTTTTGTCAAGGCAAGGCCTAGATTGTTGGCAGAACAGCATATCAGGGCCTAAACCACAGAACACGGTCAAAAACTGGGTGACTATGTACCCTTTGTGCTCTGATGAAGATGAAGATGAGATGAACAGAGGGCCCCAAAAAGCCCCCAGACCCATTCTCAGGGGGTAGACCCCGGGGCAGACCAGAGTAAAGGCCACAGGGTGGACACATCTGGGATTGGATGGATGGTATTATAAAATGTAACATCTCAGGAACGGCCAGCGCGTCTTGTAACATCTTTGCCTTGGCAAAATAAACCCTTTCTTATCTCACCCCTAATTAACTGCTCCGGGAGATTTTTTCAGCACCTAACTCCCACGGCAACACTTTGTTCTAAAAGCAGAGATGATTGTTAAATTTTGAGTTGATCAAAGATATTGTTAAATTTTGAGTACTGTGCTTTCAATGCTTTGAATAAAGAAATGTGCTTCTTACTGGCAAGCTGGAAAAGCTAGAATTGGTGAGTACTAAGATGTTAAATGTGTTTGAAAAGAGCTGTGCATTTCACTTGGCATGACACTAACTAGTAGAGGCATTCTTGCTGAAGTTACATAATTCCATGTACCTGCAGTATGAAAGCACAGGTCAACATTTAATTTACCACCCTGTTGTAATCCTATTAAAAAAACCCCAACAAACAAAACCAAAAACAAACCCCAAAACAAAACAAAAAAACCCCCAAAAAACCCAAACAAAACCAAACCCCCACCCAAACATAAAGTAACTCACAAAATAAACAGAAAGTTAGTCAGACACAAATTTAATAATTTGAATCATAAAAACATGATATGCAAGCTATAGAACAGGTGGTAAAATTTAATGCTTTTTCTCATGTACTTTAAGAAATTCTTCTGTGGAACAATGAGGCAGTAAGATAATGTTTGATTTTTGGTGCAAGAGCTCAAGCGTGCTTAGAAGCTTTCCAGATTTGTCCCAACATGTGTATCACGAGACAGTGAGTTATGCATTACTAATCATATTCCAAAAAATAGCTTTAAAGATTATTAAAAGGTAATTCCTTAGCAAAAATGTTCTCATGATTTCCAGGTATCTGGTGTTTTACTGCCCACAAGACATTTTCTGCCGGTGCTTTTCCTTTCTGCCTCTTCGTCTCCTGGTTGCAGGAATGAAGGAAGTGACTAGGACTTGGAAGATAGCAGCTGGAGTTGCACATGCAGACAGTCACTTCAAAGATGCCTGGCTTGTTATGGTGGCTGTGGGCTGGGCCAGAGGTAACGTACACCATGTCTTGTTGTGACGGCTTGTGATTTTTTGAAGTGGTGTTTAAATGTCTGGCCTGCCAGCATTAACTGTAGTACCATCCTTGCTGTGCTGGATGTGATAGTCCTGATGAAGTCTGTTATCCCCTCAAGGAAAAAGCCTGTGCAACAGTTTTTCTGTCTGGATTAAGGATGACATTGAGTGACTTGGAGGGAACTTTGTCTTATCCCTTCAGGTCTTATGAGAACTTGTAGGATGGGCAGTTGATGACAATAAAGAAGTAGATCTTCTGTGTAGCTGTTGCTAAACTTATAAACAGCGTTATTTCCTCAGAACTGTCTCTTTACACATGGCTGAAGAAGAGAACTGGTTATCTTAGTTTTTTGCGTTGTAACTATTACTCAGTTTTAAACATAAGAATGAACCTTCTTACCTGCGTGCTGTTTGGAGCAGAACTCTGGCAGCCACCTTCCTAGCATCTCTATTTGTAGTCACACCATTAGAAGAATCCCTCCTGGAGGTGACTGTGCAGCTCTTGTTTCTGCTGGATTCTGTTCTTCTATGGGAAGCAACAATATGATGATCTAACGTGTTCTGTTCCCAGGTTACAGCACAGATCAGTCTCATTGGCCACAGTGTCCTACACCTCCTTATATCTTGTACTCTTTTAATGTAAAAATACATACCCATTTTTCTTACAGAGGGTTGTCATAGTTTATAGAGACATTCTCTGTACTTATGATGACATGATGAATGCAATCATACAAACTCTAGAGATGTACCTTGGCAGTCCAGGCATTTGTGGTGATGAGTGCCTCAGTTCAGGTGTTATCACTTAAAGGTAAAACTCTGGAGTTTCATGTGGGCTGTTCAAGTCATGCTTGTATAAAAGATTGGATTAGTCTTTTTAAGTCTGGGCTTTGGGTGCCACATTTAGCACCTGGTGTCATGACTTTTGTTGTGAGCAATAATAGATTGCACAGTAGTGGTAGCAGTCAGTGGAGGTTTATCGTAAATCTTTGCCATTTCAGGAGCTGGTGGTGGCCTAATTTCCAACTTTGAGCAGCTGGTGAGAGGAGTGTGGAAACCTGAAACCAATGAACTTCTGAAGATGTCCTAGTAAGGTTTTCTTTTAACATGTTAATTGTTTTGTTACCTTCTTCAGTTGGCACTCACTTTTAGTGTTTGAGGTCTAAAAAAAAGCAGTAGAACGTGCTTGTACTCAATGTTCTGTTCTGTATCCTGTGAAAGAGGGGTCGATGATATTTTAATCATTTTATGTTCACATCAGTAGAACAGCAAATGGGAGAGACAAATCAACAAAAATTATGTATCAGAAAGCAAGTATTGAGCCAGTGTGGAGTTGCTAGAAAGTAGTATTGACTCAATTTTCTTACAGGGATGTGGTCCTCTAGCAAAAATGAAAGGACAGTGGTACCAGAAGTGTATAAGTGAAGTCTGCACTTCTGGTATGTGTTCTGAGCATCACTAAAATGGCTTCCTTTGAACATTGTCACTCTTACTTTTGCTTCCGGTGCTACTTTCCTCCATAAATATCAATTATTTGAGGAGGTGCAAATTGGTTATTCAGTATAGCAAAAATGTCCTGCAGGATAGGAAATGTTACTTCTCTTGCAGAAGGAAAGAATGGAAATATTACATGGCTCTTGTAAAATGGGAATTGAAACAGGCTAGAAAGACACAAGCTATTATTGTAAGTCAAAATAAGGTCACTGCAATAATTTCCTAAAATTCTTTTGATCTTTCCCATGTTACTCTCAGGTCTTTAAAAATAATATTTTTTTTTTAAAGTTATCTTGCTTTTCTGCAGCCACTCTTAGACACAGAATAACAGAAATGACATTTGCAGCCTGTTCTTTGGCAGTATTTCAACTTTTTGTGGATTGTGTGAGTTGTTGGCGTTTTCTGAAATTCCAGGTATTTAGAATTTATCTCCCTCTGACAGTGCCTAAGTGGCAGTCTTGAAAGCAAACTTCCAGAAAGGACACTGTCAAAAATAGCACTGTAAACCCAAATAACACTTGTCCTTACAGGTGCAACACCAGAGCAGTGCTTACTGACTGTCACCACTTGCATATATTCTCCTTTTCCGTGGAAGATATGGCTCAAAGTAACTCAAAAAAGATCTTTAAAATTTTGTTTATATATAAATCTTAAGAACATTAAATTGAGCTAAGTTACAAAGTTAAATGGATCATACATCCTGCAAGTGGATGAGTTGAGTGTATATGCAGAGTTGCTTTTTGGAGTTCCTGAGCAGGAAGTTGGTGCAGCAAATCTCTGAGTTACAGTGAAGGATGTGTCTACCCTGGAAGCTTTGTAATAACAGGAATGTCACCTGCACAGGTCACATGTAGGTGCAGATTAAGAAATGCATGGAATTCTGCCAGTGTACTGGTGCTCTCTCTTCAGAAGACTGGAACTGACCAAAGTTCTCTTGTTTTCTGGCTGCATGCCTAGCAAGGGATTTACCATCACAACCAAGATCTGTATTAGAATGGGAATCTTTGCATGTCTTAAGCCAGCACAGCTGTGTTGGCAAAACCTGGTAGCATAGGCCTGGTTCAAATTGGGCCTAAGCTGACTACAACCCTAGAGCTGCTGGACTGTTACAGTGGACCAAGACCTTGACTATGTTGCACTTCAACACCTTAAGCAACTCCTTGGAGTAACTAACTACTGGAGTATAGTAAAGGAACCTGTTTTTAAGTCTAGTCTGAGTGTGCAAGCTTTGTGATTTAACTCTTCAGTAAAATGTATTGGGAGAGGAAGAAGGGAAGCAAGCTGATGTATAGAGTTTGAATAGAAGCATTATTTGAGAAGGATTTGCCAAACAGGAACTTGCTGGGTGTGTAAAGTAGTGCTGAACTCGTTCTTGTCTGTGTTACGGACAGAAAGTGTAGTAAAGTGAAAGTCTTAATGTAATTATGTCTAGGTTTTAGACCTTATTACTGTTACAACAATTTTTCATTAGTTCTATTCAGAAAAAATTCTTTTGCACAATTAAGAATATTTACTGCTTTCTAGGCCATGGCAGCTTTTGCTGTAAAGAAGAAAAATTAACATTTATTTGTTTGACTTCCAGCCCTGTGAAGATAACTTTGATAGGAGCAGTTCTTTTCACCCTGCAACACAGCCAGTACTTGCCAATTGCAAGACACAACCTTGTGTTTTTATACACCATCTTTCTTGTCATCTTCAAGGTAAGAATTTGGAAGTGTTGCAAGTAACTGAATAATAGGAAATATTTTATTTAGTTATTAGAATGCGTGCTTCTGGGTGGGAAAGCCAGCTCGTAGTAATGTCAGAAAACTGTATTTAGTCTTCTCTACACAAGCAGAACAGAAGACCTATTCTGTTACTGACACTGTTCAATGTATGGGGAGAAAAAAAAAGAGAAAGAAGTCAGGAATTTTGGCACCCAACATTTGATATTCCAGGCTTATATGTCTTTAACCTCAAACAAAGCTTATGCTTGTAGAAAGAAACAAAGTTCTTTGTCTTTTATGTGTTTGCAATACAAGCCAACCAGACTCTCATCTAGCTTAAAGTATTTGCAAAACAAGTATTTAGGCAGGAAGAGAAAGTATATCAAAACCACTCTGAGGTAACTGTATCTGCTTTTATAATAAAATAGGCACGCTTGAATTCTTCAGCCCCTCCAGTCTTGTTCATTTCCAGGATGATGCCTGTCTTCAGGATTATGAGCTAATAAGAAAGCACAGTCTCCGTTAGCAGAAATCTGTCAATTTTAAGAGCTTCAGAGCTGCTGTTGAACAGATCAGAGACTGACTGAAAGCGGTGGTTGCTAGTCCTTTCTGTGAAGTAGCTGACAACTTTAGTTCTACAGACGTTGCTTTAGGGAGCCGAGACTTTGAGCTAATATTCATAATTCTCCACCTAAACCAGTAAGGTGTTGTTGAACTGGGGATGCTGGGAATGGAGAAGGAAAGGAATGTTATTCTGGAACTGAGAGATTACAGCTCTCTTCAGGAGCTGGCTGTCAGAGTACACTGAAGTGACTAAATCCTTACACTGATGGTCATACTGACAGTCAGGAACTTGAGCACCCACTTAATAGCAACCCACTAATAAAGCAACAGTTGTGGATCTGGCATAGTCCTGTAATAATGTCTTTTAGAAACTTGTCATGTCTCTGAAAACTGTAGAAACTGTTGCAATATAAACTTGTCCAGTACCTGGACCTATAAACTGTTGTTTTTTCTGCCCTGATTCCGAGTTATGTGTCCTAAGGAATGTCTACCTAAACCTATGAACTTTATGGAACGAGTATGGCTGTCTGAAATTCTAATTAAAGTCTGGTTGTGCATATATGTTTAGGTGCTTACACATTTATTGTAACTTGATCCTTGTTCTTCTTAGGTAAAAATGATGTTGACAAGATGTGCAACTTCTCCACTTGCTCCCCTTGAGGCTGCATTAGGCCATGTGCTTTTTGGCTTGCGAAAGGCACCTTTCAAAGTGAAGAGTGAAAGTGCCACATCTTCCAATCGCTCTTCAATTTGTGACCGGCCCTCTGAGCAGCACCACGATGGTGTTAAGAAAAGACAAGCAAAGAAAACAGAATAAGTGACTTGAAATCCTTGATGGTCTTGACTGCTGAAGATGTTTTAATGCCAGATTAGGCTGGCTGAGGAGTTTAAGGAAATGCATTTGTGAGGAGAGAACAGGACTGTGTTGTGGTTCGCCTTTGGAATGTGTTATATAAGCTACTGTTCCTATGTCTGAATGCCCAGGTTGGATTTGTAAGTTAAAACTACAGTTTTTTATATACTTACAAGTTTACTAATTTTTGTATTCACGATAATTTAAGGTGCTCACGTGCTAAAAGGGTAGTTTTGAAAATGTGAAAAGCATATTTGTTATTTTTTCTGATATGTCACTTGTTTCACCTCTTCCTAGCCACCAGTTCTTATGTTTCATTTGGATAACATTGATTTGTACTGTCAAGTGTTCACTGCAGCACATCCCAAATAAGAAAGTCATCATCTGAGTAAGGCATAATCACATTGTACTGTGTAAAATCATAAAAATGTACCACACTAATGCCTTTAACTAGAAAAATGACCGAATTATAATTATTATTATTATTATTATATTATTATTATGTGTAATTCACATTGCACTGGTCTAGGTTTTCTGCATTTACTGAAATATTTTTCAATATTTTTATATTTTTTAAAATGAGAGTAAATTACTGGCACTTTAAAAAATCTTTACAGTTAGCAAATAGAAATATTCGATATTTTTGTTGTTGGCTTACTTTGACACTTTGCAAGCATTTGATATGGAGGTGTTTTTCATGTTACATTGGGGATTTGCATGTGATTTGTAGTTATCGTTCAGTTCACCTGAGACTAGACATCTCTGCCTGCATTTTTGTCCAAGCATATGCACTTTTTTCTTTTCAAAGACAAACTTTCTTATAAAAAAGAAGATTGGACAGTACATTTGCCTTCACTCAGCACCCTGGGCTGGAAGACAGGGATGAGGAGCAGAAGGAAGCCCCTATAATCCATGATGGAAGGGTCAGTGACCTGCTACACCACGTAGGACACTCAAAGTCCATGGGGCCAGATGGGATCCATCCAAGGGCACTGAGGGAGTGGGTGGAAGAGCTTCCTGAGCCACTTTCTGTCACTGACCAGCAGTCCTGGCAAACTGGGGAGGTCCAAAGGCTGGAAGTTGGCAAATGTGACACACATCTACAGGAAGGGTTGGGAGGAAGGATCTGGGGCACTTCAAGCCTGACCTCGGTGCTGGGGAATGTCATGGGGCAGATCATCCTGAGTGCCATCATGTAACATGTACAGGACAACACGGGGTCAGGCCCAGCCAGCCTGGGCTTAGGACAGTCAAGTCCTGCCTGACCACCCTGATCTTCTGTGACGAGGTGACCGATCAGTGGATGAGGGAAAGGCTGTGGATGTGTCTACCTGGTCTTTACTAAAGCCTTTGACACATTTTCCCACAGCATTCTCCTGGAGAAACTGGATGATCATGGCTTGGATGAGTGCCCTGTTCGCTGCATAAAAAACTGTCTGGATGGCCCAGCAAGTGGTGGGGAATGGAGTGACATCCAGTTGGGGCCCCTCACCAGGGGTGTGCACCAGGACTCAGTGTTGGGGCCAGTCCTGTTTAATATCTGTATTAACAGTTGGGATGAGATCAAGAGTACCCTCAGTCAGTTTACTGACAACACCAAGCTGGGCAGGAGTGTTGGTCTGCTGGAGGGTAGGAAGGCTCTGCAGAGCGATCTGGACAGGCTGGATTGATGAGATGAGGCCAATTGTGTGAGGTACAACAAGGGGAAGTGCCAAGATTTGCACTTCAGTCACAAAAACCCACAGCAGCGTTCCAGGCTGGGAGAAAAGTGTCTGAAAAGTTGCCTGTTGGAAAAGGACCTGGAGATGCCAATTGACAGCGGCTGAACATGAGCCCAGGTGTGCCCAGGTGGCCAAGAAGGCCAAAGGCACCTGGGCAGTACCAGCCATAGTGCGACCAGCAGGACCAGGGCAGTGACTGTCGCCCTGTGCTGGCACACCTGAGTGCTGGAGGCAGTTCTGGGCCCCTCAGACAAGAGAGACATTGAGGAACTGGAGCATGTCTGTATCAGGGGTGAATTTATGCTGATACTTTTGGTCTGTGTTTGGCCCAGCCACCTGTAAAAGTTTTGTTCTTTCCCTGCCAAGTTATGAGAAAACAAGCACTGATAAATGGGAAAGTTGTCCTTGAAGAGAGTTCTTGTATAAACTATATTTAATTTGTATTCTGTGATTGGCTAATTGTTCTCCAAGGTCGCTTGAAGGAGAAATTGAAGACTATAGTGATGAAGGAAACCCCCAGACTCATTTGGGAAAGACCCCCCCTGAGTGCAGTACGCAGGCGCAGGGAAAGCCACGCCTGCGCAGAAGAGATGCACTTACATAACCAAGGGGGTGGGACTGAGGGCCTCTGGCGGGGTGGTGCTGACCACACCTGCCTAGACGGACGTATCCAGTTAATTGTATAAAAAGCAGTTAGCTCTTGTTGGGTAGGTAGCAAGCTTCACATCAAGGACAACGCTGCCTTTTGGCGGGGATGCCTGCCAATTTGTGAACTTAGTGACTTTCCAAGGATGCAGCTTCTGCTATTGGTAATTATAGGCATTCTAGGTTGGTAAGATAACTTTATGGGCAACAACTGATTTACTGGGGAGGTCGTGCTAGGGGCTTATTTCTCTCTTCCTTCTTCCCTTTTGGGTTTGTTTGGTTGGTTGGCCACCTCTTGGTAATAAATATCAGTTTCGTTGAGCTTCCAATGGTGTCATGGTTTCAGATTCAGTATGGTCCGAACCTCTCCCTAATACACATGTCCAGAGAAGGGATTGGAGCTGGGGAAGGATCTGGAGCACTAGGAGCAGCTGAGGGAGCTGGGGGGTCTCAGCCTGGAGAAAAGGAGGCTCAGAGGGGACCTTCTTGCTCTCTACAACTCTCTGACAGAAGGGTGGAGCCACATGGGGGTCAGGAAACAGCCTCAACTTGTACCAGGGGAGGTTTAAGCTGGATATTAGAAAAAATATATTGACTGAAAGCGTTGTCAAACACAAGAACAGGCTGCCCAGGGAAGCAGTGGAGTCACCGTCCCTGGAGGTATTTAAAAGCCATGTAGATACGGCGCTTGAGGACATGGTTTAGTGTTGGGCCTGGCAGTGCTGGGTTAATGTTTGACTTGATGATCTTTAAGGTCCTTTCCGATCTAAACCATTCTATAATGTCAGAAGCATGGAACTATTTATTAGCATTTACTGAAATCTTGCTTTCTGCTGGTTGCATCTTTTTTTGCTCATGATACAAAGCATTTCTAAAGGGGATACATTTCATAACTGAGAACTCTGACATTTTAGAGATGTTACATTGCATAAGAATATAATCTTTTCAGAGGAGTCTTTAATTGATGTGCCAATTTTTAGAATAAATTATTTTTATAAAATTAGATTATTTGTCTTCAGAGAGTACTGCTCTGAAGAGTATTCTTCAGCAAGAGGGGGTAGGTTAATCTTCATGCAGGGATGCCAAGAACCATGTGGAGAGAGATCTAATTTGAAAAGACAAAGTTCTAGTTCCAGGTATATACCTAAATTTAGAAAAGCTGTCACCAGTGCTGTGCTTAGAGAAGAGAAAAAGAAAAGAGCACCAAAGAAATTTCTTGTGCCTGTCTAGCCACATTTTCATGGTAGTGACCAAGACCATTGAACTCAGTTTGAAATCAAACTTTATAGCAAATGTGCTGTACCTTGAAAGCTAAAATTACTATTTTCTTTAACACTGAAGAATTAAAAAAACCCCACAAACTCTTCAGTCAAAGTGACAGTATTGGAGTATTCACTTGGTGTTTCATTTTTAGTAGCTTGATATCAGGGATGTATGGACTAACTTGGTGCTGCCAACTAACAAGTTAATGATCAACTAGTTGTTAAGAAACACCAGCAAATGATGCGTGTCTGTGGTTTTTAAAACTGGTGGATGGTTTTTTGAAGAGGTGTAATTGTGTATACTGGATCACACACTGGACTGAACACCTTTAAAGTAATACACGTCACACTAAAAATGTATTTTGTTGTGAGACAGAACACAAGTTACGCTGAAATAAATCCTGTTATATAAGCACCATGAAAACAAACCTTTTGTGTTTTAAAGATCTCACAGGCTTCTGAAGGAGGAGTGCTTGAAAGAACCCCATACTGAATATTTACATTCAAATGTTCTGAGAACTACATTTTGTAATGCAAAAAAGATAAACCAATTGCTCAGGGTTTAACTTGAATTTTGTAGAAGGCTTAATACACTGTCCAAGATAAATAAAATAAACAATACTTTCCTAGCTTTTGTGCTGATGGTTCTCTGTCTCTGGTAACGTTCTCTGCATGAGAATTCTGGTAAGAATTTCTTATAACTGTTCTGGTAAACTGTGTCAGATGCAGCACAACTGCACACATGAACTAGTTGGCTGTATCTAATTTTGTCATTAACTTGATAAAATTAGAAGTAGCTGCCTTGTGCCCTTCAGAAGTTGCTTTATCAGCTTAGTTCTTGGGCTGGAAGGGCCTATTCCTGATTAATCCAATTGTTGTTCTGAATAATTTGAGTACACTTCTCTGTAAAAAGAAATACCTTAATATGTGCTTCAAGAACACAACCAAAGTTTCTTGAGATGATAAATGCTATTTGTTTTCCTCTTCTGTTTTTATTCCACTTCATTTTATTTTTTAGAAAAAAAGTGGAAATAGGAGGATATCATGCAAACAGTGCTGTCATCTGCAACTTGATTCTTCAGTGTATTATTAGGCAAGACACAGTTGTTCAAGAATTCCAAACATCTGTCTTCTGTAGGAATCTGAATCTGCTCAGCGTAAGGGCAGTGCTGAAATCTAACATCTTCCAATAATCTAGACAGTGAATGCAAGCTTTACTCAGAACAAATGCTCTTAATTTATAAGGTGAATCCTCATTTCTAATGTCTAAGTGAAGTCTTACAATAAGTAGCAGCAGAGAAACAGCATTTGACGCTTAGATGAGAATCAAAAATGTGTTGTAAATAGTAATTTGCATTTGTTCTGATAAAACCGCTCCATTAAGCAATCAGATGCCTTTTGTGAAATGTGTGAAATTGTTCAGCAAGGAACAGATAGCAACATGAACACTGATAGAGAAATACATTAATATTCCCAGGCAAGAACAGCCTATTATTGCACACACTGATCTGCAAGTGAGTTTTATCTACAGTCCAGAAGTAGACTATGGTGATCAAAATATAGGGAAAATATATATATATATAAGGAAGATATTCTTTATGATGAGACCGATGAAACACTGAAACAGGTTCCCAGAGAGGTGGTGGATGCCCCATCCCTGGAAACATTCAATGTCAGGTTGGATGGGGTGCTGAACAGCCTCATCTAGTTGAAGATATTCTTGCTTCTTGCAGAGGAGTTGAACTAGATGACCTTCAAAGGTCCCTTCCCACCCAAACTATTCTATGATTCTTTGATTCTGTGAAAAAACAAAGCTTATTCAAAGTTGTTGATAAAGGCTGCTGTCAAGGTGGTTGAGACAGCCTTACTGACCTTGGGAGCTGATAGGGCCACTGGCATGTAATTCTTATGAAAGGATGCTAAAAGCAAGAAACTTTGCTGTCTTTGGCTGAAATTTTATCAATCCCTCTGGCACATTTTTCTATGATAAATTAAATACAAGCTCTTCTAGTGGTAGTCATTTCAATCAGAGTCCCCTTTGGTTTGGTCAGATTTTCTCCTTCCTGTTAAAAGATGACCATTATCAGAAAGTTTAATATCAAGGCTGTATTAGCTAGTCTTGTGGATTTTTTTCTTTTAGTTGAGTTTTTTTTGGCCCAATTTGAAATAAGAACACTGAAAGATACTTTTATCCAGAGCTTTTTGGCACATGTTCTGTTTTCTGAAACTAACATCCATTTATGGTCCTGAGACGTTTAGGAATTACATGGAAGTATTTATGAGTGTCTTTCAGTGAAATCGGAGCATACCTTTAAGGTACTTAACAAGACTGTTATTCATCTTGCTGAGCAAGATGAAGATATGAATTTATATGGTGCTACAGTCGTAGTAGAATATCAGAAAAATCCAAGATAAAGAAATGAGTTTTATATTGAAGAGAGTACAGTTTCATGAGAACTGCCTTGTCACATGAGTGACTTCTTCAGTTCAGATGTTTGTATGAAAACTCGGCTGTCTTTACTTACCTGTCACCCATCATGCACAAAGGCCTGGTCCTGACTCTCCCAAAATGAGCTGTTGTCCTGCAAAGGAGGTGACTGATGTTTGATTTCTAGGTCATGAAAGTTTAAAACAGCAGGAGAGATGCCGAGTGCTTGACTTGAAATTTCCAAGTTGAGTGAAGGGGAAGAACAGAGCACGGGAGCGAGACTCATCTCCCTGAGCAGCTGCCTTTGTATGAGCTGAGAAATGTTCTTTGGCTTCAATGCAGTCATCCAATATATTTTTAGTCCCCTTTTATTCAATATAGCAGGTGCATGTTAAGGAAACTTTCCTGTCTGAGCATTCAGATGCTACTCTTGGTAGTCACACTCCCATCACCCGAGACTTTCAACTGCTGGGACTGAAGCTCCTTCACAGTGGGTGGCTCATGTAATACATTGAGCTCATAGCAGACCCTCTCTGAGAACCAGCATGCCAGGAAAAAGGATCAGCAGAGAACTGTCCTTTCAACAACAGTCTCTTCCATAGGGGTTTGTAGAGTTTTTAAATCAATCTATGCGTTAGACACTGATGATACGCAAAGGAGAGCTGGTGACCTTATGGCCAGACTTCAGTCTGAATTTGGAAGCAACGTTGCACAGTTCCAAACGCTTACGTTCCAGTAAGTTGTGCATCTTCTCCTGTAACTAGCACACATGCGCTTTATATTTTTATTGGATGTTATGGATTAAAAAGCTCAGGATCAGGTTGGGTCTTTCTGAATTCATTTCTCCAAAGTGTAATCCAGATGTCCTAGATTTGGTTCAGAAAGCTGGTTATGGTTTAGAATCGTCTTGCCAAAAGAACAGTTCCTTAGAAATAAAATGTGTTGATGACTTTTTTCCTTCCCTTATCTTTACCTAAACCTCTTGCTTATATCAGACTGAAGTTTTATTTGAGTAAGGTTGACAGGAACTGGATCATAATGGAGTTAGAAGAAGCTGAAACACAAAGGCTGTTAAAACCCAAAGTTTCAAGGCTAGTATCTATTAAGTAAGAAGATACAAATGCCAAATGCTAAAGAGTTTACCAAAACTCAATAAAAATGTAGTGTTAATACTTCAGAAAAGCAGTGAATTTTCAGAAAATAACCCCAGGCATTGCTATTGAGGGTATCCACTGTTCACAGACACAGGAATCAAGTTCCTGTATCGTACATTGCTGTGTTTGTGTTCTTGTCCTCAGATGCAAATGTAATGAAGCACAAGGTTAATGAGCTTCAGACCAAGTTGAAGCAAGAACACAGGGAGTCAGGATGAAGTGGAGTAACGCCTGGGAATGCTATACAGCGTGCTATTACTATAGCAAGAGAAGGGAACCCAGACTGCTGTCAGAAATTAACTAGGAATATGGTTCTAACACTACTACAAACCTAATGTTGCTAAGAGGCGACATGCTGCATTTTTGGGTCTGCAGCCAGTCTGTATGGATATCCATGAAATTAGAGCATCAATGCTGCAAGGAAAAGCAGTGATTAAGAAGGTCAAGCTGGGTAAGACCCCTGAGCATATGTTTGTATGTCTGCAGCATGAACTACAAGAGTGGGACCAGGCATTTCAAGTTATTAATGAGATGAGCTTCTGATACCTTCAAAGAGTGCTGATTTTTAATTATTATTTTTTTTACCTAGGCTGAAATGATGTGGAGAAGAGTGGGATTATGAGTTCATTAATGCCACAAAAAAAAATAAATGGGGGTGTTGAAAATGATACTCCCTAGTAAAATGCATCCTTGCTTCTTGGAATGCAGTGCTCACGTGAGGCAACATGGAATTTAACCACCCCTAGTGTGGGCTTCTAAGTGCTCATCCAGGGCATCAAAGCAGTGCATCTACCAGATCTTCTTTATTGTGAAAGGAAGGAGCAATAAAACTAATAGAAGTTATGAGTTGTCTTTGGCACAGAGAATGACTGGCTCTGTAAATCAAGACTGCTGGCTCAAAACAAGCAGAAGAGAGAGGAGAACACTGCCTTTCACAAAGGTCTGCACAATCACCTTGAACCTGATGCATGCGGAATGATTTTTTCATAATACAGCAGTTTCAAGTGAAACTGGTAAGTAATGGACACTGAGCAAACAGCAAAAAAAAAAAAAAGCCACTTGAGTTGCACAGTGTATAATTAAGCTGTGGAACTCGTTGCCTCAGGTAGAAGTGCTAGAAATAGAAAGCAATTAGATACCAGTTCTGACTCAGGCAGGTCTCATAGAGTTTTGTCAGATGGTGGAGAGTATTTACAGAATGGCAGAATTATTAAGGTTGAATGGGGCCTCTGGAGATCATGCAGTCCAACCCCCCTGCCAAGGCACCTGGAGCAGGTGACACAGGACCATGTCCAGGTGGGTTTGGAATATCTCCAGAGAGGGAGGCTCCACACCCTGCCTGGGCAGCTGTTCCAGTGCTCTGCCACACTCAATAGAAAGGAGTTTTTCCTCATGTTGAGTAGAACTTGAGTGTTTTAGTTTATGGCCCTATGAGTGCCTTGGATAGTACGTGTCTGACCTAGTCTCAGATTTTCTCTAGGCATGTACCCTTGGCATCTACTTCTGGCAGACCCTCCTACCCAGGGAAAGGCACAGACAGTCCAGGGAAATTACAGGGATCAGCATATCTGGAGTGTGAAGGATTGGCTTCACCCTAGGAAACCCACCTTCCACTACCATCATGTCTCCCTTACCAGGAAAACAAAAGGCTCATGGGCTTTGGAGACCATTGGACTGGTCCTGTGTTGCAGGAGTGTCTATATTTGCTTCTGAAAGGTGGGCCCTTGTTTTGCTAGTGTTTCCTCTCTTATAAAATAGAAGTCATTTTTTTGCTTCAGTGCAGTTCATTCTGTTATTTTTAGAATACTTTCAGGTGCTCCAATGAAAGGGTATTCTAGACACATGAATTATTAGTATTGAGCAGGGCTGCTCTGTTGAGGGCCTTTTTTCCAGCTGAAAATGGGTTTGACTGCAAGGAATCATATTTTTGCAAGAAAACTATATTGGTGAAAGTTGTTTTCAACTTTGAGAAGCAAAGAGAGACAATAAAACTATTCTTGTTTAAAAAAAATTAGATTTTTTGGGAGAAGCGAAAGTTATTTGAATT